TTAGATTTCAGTACCAAATATGCTCTTCACCTTTGCTGTCCCGTCACTAACACCTCTATTTTTTCAAACTATGTTTTATAAATACCAAAATTTGGATTAGTTTCCATAATTTTATCCAATAACAATTGCCATCGAGATCATGCATCGTTCACATGAAATAAAATATAATGATTTGATCATACACATTTATATCTTGAGTATTCACTGTTTTTATTATTGATTTTTTGGTCAAGATTTTAATATTATAGAAAATTTAGTTTTTTAATTCCTAACTTTGGTTTTTTAAATGGCATTATTTTAATAACAACTGTGTAAGGGTTAGAATGGGCGTGGTTTAACCAAACACCTGCCATTTTATGGAGTTTTTTTAAATTTATTTATTAAAAATATATTTTAGCCGGAGGGGGTGGGTGGACCTTTGTTAAAAGGTAGACACGGGCTGTATTACTAATAAACAATATTTTATTTATTTATTAACAAGGTTCAAAATTTGTTAAATATAATTATTGTAACCGAGTGGCTCAAAAAACTTCCCTGTTATTTGGTTAATATTTTGCATTTTATTAAGGAACATATGGAACTTAATATTCTCTAAATTATAAATTGATTGAATATTTGAAAATTGCAATAATAAATACTAAAATTTGACTAAAGATATTTCAATATTTAGTATATTTATAAATCAATTTAAAAATTTTTTAAACTGAACATGAAGTATTATATTCTTATTGAATATACATGCCAGGAGCCTAACCAGGGGGGAGGGGAGGGTCGCAAATTTGTTTGTTTTTTTAAATATCACTTTAAGCTAATAAAAAATTTCCCCCTCTTCCCAAAAAATGTATACAATTATTACTATGATGAAGAATTTAAAAAGAAAAATTAGAAAGTTTTTAACTTTTTAAAATAACTGATACATTTTTAGTAAAATGCATTTTTATAAAAAAAAGTGAAGCCCCAAAATTATTTTTATAAAAATTGAATATAGCCGAAGGCCTACAGTGAGACATATAAACCTCTATAAAATTTATGGGGGAAAACACATCCTAATAGTGTTTATTCTCTTAGCAAAATCCGTTAAGGCTAATTGTATAAATAACTTTATTTGATAATAAATTATTACAGTTATTGAATATATCATTCAAATTTAATATTAATTCGTTAAATTTTATTCAATATTGTTGTTAAAATTTTTGACGTTTTTCTATGTGCTAGAAGGGCCATCAGCTGGTAGTCTTAGTCGATTAGAAACTCTAAAAAATAAAAATTGATAGTGTGATATTGAGTTGGAATACTATTTACAGAATCCAGTACCATTCAATTTCAATACCAAAGTGACAAAGGAGTTGTGGGGTACAGATTCATATAATTTGAAAAACTTGCTTTCCTAGAGTGATCCATTATGAATTTCTAAAGAGCCTATTAATTGATGTTCAGATTTTTTAAAGTAAGAATAATAAAAAGTTTATCACCAAATAATACATTCTTTTAACCATTTCAAATGCATATGTACAATGTTGATTTGTATTAAACATTTTATTTCAGATTATTTTTAAATTGCACACAATGATCTTAAATTCTGTTTCTGTTTAATTCTAACTTATATTTTTTTTAAATAATATTCCAACTGGTAAGGACCAAAATAATATATATTCCATATATTGGTATGTATTCCTATATTTTTAACAAAAGAATAATGCTTCTAGGGATATTAATATTATTTTATCATTCTTGGTAATTTTACAATTATATTTTTATGTGGATAAATCTATTTTATAATTATTTTGTCATTAATACGTGATCTATAGCGCTTATGCCGCTATCGTCACTAGATATTCCTCATTTCTAGCGTCTACAATGAGCGGGAGGGGGGGGGGGTGGAAACAGTTTGCATCCAATGGGGGGGGGGATTTAAGGGAGGAGGATAAATTTGTTTGGGGGTTATCCATCAAATTTTTAGATGAAATAGACAAAATATATTGCTATATAAATTAATACTTATATTATAGCCCTATTATAATACTATGATATAGTTGATCATCGACCAAATCTATATATTGCAAACAATCACATTATTTTCCAAATAAAATTTTCGGCTATCAATATTATAATCCCCATATTTTCTTATCAATATTATCACAATTCAAAATTATCTTTATTTTCTTCATATACACATATCACATGTTTAAAAGTTAAAACAAATAAAAATTAAAGTTTTTCATTTTTCTAGAAAATTTATATTGAAAATGTCTATAAATATCAATTACAAATCGACAGATACAACATTATCCTTTTAAATTTAAAAGGATTAGACATTCTCAGCAAACTCATATTGATGCCAAAAATATGCTATTATAATGCGTTCATTGTAAATGAGGGGTTTTTCTAAAATGAATTCATTTTACAAAAAATAAATTCACAATGTTTTGATAGTTGATAATAAAGCTAAAATAATTTAAGATTTTCTTCTTAAAATTATGAAAGGAGTGTCATTATAATTAAAAAAAATGTAATTAAATATGGGAAACAAAATTATTTTTTTGGGTGAGGAGGGGGGAGGGGGTAGGCATCAATTTTTGAGGGAGATTTGCAACCAGTAAAAATCCTGTCATGATGACGTGGCTCATTTCCATCTAACTGGATCAAATTAAGTGGGGTAAAAAATTATAAATGGAGCCCTCTACACTTTTGTATGCAAGCGGCACGTACTTGTATGCACAACGGTCTTAGAACTGTTATTTAGATGTCCAGAGGCTAAGATAAGAAGAGTAGAGCAAAACAAAAGCCTACCCGAGGAATTAAGTATAATTTAATTACTTTAAGGGTTGGAGGTGGCTGATTTTAAGTTTAAATTCCTTACTATGAATATTGAGATTACATCTTCATATCTATTGAATTTCAATTTATCCTTAAAAGATCAAAATTGAAAATAAATATTTTACCTACGGCGTCGATGCATTTCAAGCCTTGCACTTATGCACCATTATCATATCATCTAAATTATTTATAAAAATGGACTCTATATTTTCTTTTATGGACGTTTTGTACTATTTCGCCAATGTTTTACCGTATATGTTCCAAGTCTCATAAGCATGTAGCGGTATTCTGCCACCATAATGTTTTCTCGAGCTCGGTAGATTCACAATGATATTTACTATGATGAAGCACTATATGCATAAAATTTACGAAGACACACAATGAAGTATATTGGTAAGATAAAAATAGATCTTAACAATGATGAATTTATACAAAAAACTTTTCTTATATACAAAATAAAAATAATATAATTAGAAAAATATTTTGATTTAGATTATTTTTGAAGGTAAATAAAAAAAAACTTCAACCTAGAATGACCTCTTATAGTAAAATGAATCATAAAAACTTATAACAATTGTTTTGAATATAAATTAATAATTTTAATAATTTTAAAATAACAGTTCAAAAAAAGGAAAAACAGTTTTTAATTCTTAAAATGAAAACAATATAAAAACTAAAAAATATATTTATTTTCGAATAAGTGATTAAAATAAAACTAAAATATATTTAAAAAACAAAAAATTTGACCTATTAACAATAATATTAATATTGTGTCCAATCATAATGTTGTAATCTATGATTGACATTTTGAATTTAATATAGGAGTTTTCGAAATATAATAAGTAACAGTTTACTACAGACCCACCCTTAACAGGCCAAGGATACGTCATACTATATATAATAAAATTTATATTATATACCAAAAAAATACTTTTATTAAATAAAAATAACAACTATTTATAAATATAATTGCTAAGTTATTCCTCTAAAGCGATTATATATTACATATATAAAAAATTTATTTCTATATTATTATATACATATACAAAAAAAAATATCGATATTTACATAATTTTTATATTTCTTTTAAATATGTTTCCCATTCTTCATCGGCCGACATCGTGACTTGGCTAGTCACTTCTAGCAAGGGCAAACACATGTTGAACATTACGCCATTGGTTTATATGGCTAAAGGCATGCTTGTCGAGGCTTCCTCCTCTATGGGATTGTTGAGATTTTTTTTTATTCCTGACTATCTTGAGCTTACACTGATCAATGAGGTGTGTTGCATTAGAAACATAGAGGAATTAGCTTCGATTGGAATTTGCTTAATTGTGGCTAGATAGGATAATCATTCCTTTTGTCTTTCTTTTCATGGGGATGCCTTCCCGCATGGAATTAGCACAGGAACTACTAGCAGGATAACATATTGATCTGCAACTAGAACTCACTAGGTACAGCCATGATGATGGAGAATATTACACAATTGACACCGTTTTTACTTTTTAACAGCAATCATTAGCTTTTAATTTTACAAAACACTTTTTAATTTATTTTAATCAAAGAATTTTTACCTTTATATTTATAAATTAATTTCATAACAAATTCAAAAATTTTTAGCTATAAATTTACGAATTGTTCATAAAAAAATTTTTAAATTTTATTAGAATTAATTACCATAAAAAAACTAAATAGTTGCACTCCGACTTAAGGAACATGTAATGGTAAACAGTAATATTTTTATTGTTTTACTTTTTTATATTGCCATTATTTAAAGTTGTATAAATCCATTTCTTAAAAAAAAATAACCTCAATCTCCCCTTTCTACCCCACTATGTTAATTTGAATAATCAAATGATGACTAAAAGATAAAATACGTGAGGTACATTTTACTTCAATTATAGTATCCTTTAAATATAACTTAATTAAAATATAAGTGAAAGGATGAATGTAATAAATAAATCTTTTGAGATATAAAACATCATAACCTAATTTTGTATTTTATATTATTGTATAAATTAATATATTGGATATTATAACAGAAACAGACATTTAATACCTTCGAAACTAGGTACCCTATTATTTACTAGACAAAAATTATTCCATAAAACAATCTTTAATTTAAAGGGATCCGATAACTTGCTATATATCCCTTGTGGTTCAATTTAAGATATTTTAAATAAATGGCGGGATTTGATGAATTGGGAATATATCATAGTGCTAATTTATTGGAAGATGTGCCTTCTGGCTTAGAACAAATCAACAGATCTAATTATCTTAAGAGATTTAAGGACTTTATTAAAAACTTCTGTACTGAAAATTTTAATTACATATACAGGTGATTAAATTTTATTTAATATCATTTTTTAAAAAAATTTAGAGATCAATTGAGGCGAAATTATGATTTAGATAGATATTGGCTGGAAATTTCACTTGAGGATATAACAAATTTTGATGAAGAAATTGGTGATAAATTATGGAATTTGCCAACTGAAATCATTCCATTGTTTGAGACAGCTGCAAAAGAAGTTGTAGAGGAAATTATTCTTCACAAAGATCAAGAAGAAGACATTGCAGAAAACATACAGATTATTTTGAATAGTAGGGCAAATCCGAAATTTTTAAGAGATCTAAAGGTACATCTTTGGGACAAATATAAAATTATAGGAACACACTTTATCAATATTCTTATTTAATATACCTTATATTTCATAGTCAAGCCAAGTATCTAAATTGATCAAGTTGCCAGGCATAATAATATCAGCATCTTCTATAAGAACCAAAGCGATAGAGTTAACACTCCAATGTCGTAATTGTAAAAATGTTAAAAATAACATACCACTGAAATATGGTCTAGATGGATATTCATTGCCAAGAAAATGTGATCAGTAATATATTCTTCGATTATTTTTCATTTAGTTTACATTATCAGTCTAAATGTTAAATATAGTCCTGCTTAGGAAAATAATTTTTTGTTTCTCAATTTTAAAATTTTTAGTGTTAATAATCTAAGTTATATAAATAGAATTTGATTTGTTATAATATATACTTCACAATCTCTAAGATTAGTTTCATATATTTTGAAATTGTAAACTGGTAACTTATTTATAAAAGCTAACAAACTTATTTTTTTAAAAAAAATCAAATTGATATATAAAGCTTCATTTTTCATATTCGTGTGGGATTAGTTTAAAATATATGAATACTTGTTTTTATCAACTAAATTTCACAAATAAACTTTAAAAAATATATTTTGTAACTTTACCAACTTAACAGCACAGACATTCATTCTTTATTCTGATTTTTTTAAGCAATTTATTGTTCTTGGTCTGATAGAACAATTTATTTTAGATTAGAAATCATGGCCCACAATGATCTGTCAATAACTTTAAAACCATTTTTTTGCCACATATATTTTTAGGTTGCACCTCTATAGCGATACATTTAATGAATGTGATTTTAATTTTTACTAATTTTTTTAAAATAAACTAATAATTAAAATCATATAATAAAGTAAATATATAATAAATTTTATCTATATAAATGTAAGCTCATATATATTTAAGATTAAATGGTATCAATAAGTATATTATCTATGAAATCAGCCTTCTTAAAAATGCCAATTGGGGGGGGCATTTGGACACCTAAAGGACATATTCCTTTCAAGCTTAAAATATAAGTTTTCTCTTTCAGTTTCACTTTGCTTTTTTTTGTTTAATTCTATTTTAATGATCACTCAGTCAATATCAATACCAGTCATATTATTTTATTTGCATGGTCTTTTTCATTCAAATTTGTTAAAATATAAATATATATATGTTAATTTAATATTTGTGTATATGAATTCAATGAGCTGTATTGTATTTATATCTTGCATCACACAATCAGCTAATAATCTTGACCTAACCTCATTAGACTTAGCTAATTATTTTACCAAAAACCTTGGCTAAGCCAAGGAGTTTCCTAAATATATTTTTTTTCATTTTATCTATGAATTCAATGAACATTAGGCAGGATTTTGCTAAGTGGGGAGGGGGGCATGGTAATTCTTTTTCCCATAAGGACATCTTTAAGCCCACTTATTATAGGCCTTTGACTATTGAATTTTTATAAAAATAATGCCTTTAGTCATTATTTTAAAAGTTACTAATTTTTAATAATTATTGTATATGTTTTTTGAGAAGAGGAGGGGGATGTGGGGGAAATTTTTATTAGCTAAAAATTCTGAGAACAGGCAAATTTTTGATTTGCTCCTTGGTAATGTGCCTGCTATTAGAGATCTGCAAAGTAAAAATTTAAGAAAAAATTAAAACAAGCCATGCTATATATTAAAAAATAATTATATTGGGCTGAGGAAAAAATTTTGAAGGCCAGGCTGGGCAATTTCTACATAAACTTTTTTAGGCTTGGCCAGATCTGACTTTTCTTATGATTTTTATAGGTCAGGCCAAGTTTCAAAAAAAAATTAATGGGGCAAACTGAGCAAATAGAAAAAAAAACTATATAGGGTAAAACTTACCAATGCTATGTCATTAAAGACAGACATAATAAATTAGCCATATAAGGTTGAATCTCAGAAATATTCAAAGCCATTACCTGAAATCTCTAGTAAAGTATATGTTTGTTTTAATGCCTTTTATTCAAGCTTGAACAATTATAATATATACTCTTAAATTTATAGAATCATACATTGAGATGGTATATATAAATTAAATATACAAGGTGAATACTTATATAGAATCTCTACCACTAATAAGGTTAGTGTTGACAAGCTGGGAAGGTCTTGCTCTATGATCTCTCTATTAGTCAGTATTGGTATATTAGAATGTGAATAAACTCTTTTAACTATTGATTTAAAAGTTTAATTATGAATATCTGTTTTTCTCTCAAATAATATGTTTATATATCATATAAATACGTTTAATATATCCAATTTACATAATATCAAAGTTTAATTTAATATATCACACGATTAACATTATCGCCTTAAACTGTCATTATCTAAATGGACAAGTATATTAATACTTAACACAATAAAAAATAAATAACTTTAAATTACGAATATGTAACTATTAGTCATAGTTATATGCCATTTTATTTATAAATATAAGCTAAAAAAAATTAAATTTATTTAAAAATAAGTTATATTTAAACAAATTTTTGAACGAAAAAGAAAATCTAACCATAATAAATTAATCAAATATTTTATTTATAGATAGTATGTCTCATATCTGACCATTATACTATTCAATTATTAAATATAAGGCCACACCAAAAAAAGCAAAGTGTGAATTGAAAGACAAAATTTTCTATATGTCTTTGTGCTTCCAATGTGTCCCTGAATTGGCAATAATATCATATTATCTCAAATATATTTTTAAATGCATACATATGAGGCAATAGGCCTATTCAAGAATAATTCGAATATTTGATTCGATTTGAATAATTACGAATACGAATAATCATTTATTCGATTTGAATAAAACGAATTATTCGTAATATTTAATAAATTGTTTAATAAATCTAACATTTGTCATTTTTATTTGTTGACCTGCCAATTTGACAGGTGATGTGTTTGTGTTTATAAAGATTCTAGCACAAATTTAAAAATTTCTGAAGTGAAAATTTAAATTTTTGTTTGCCACATTTTTTCTCATAATAAATTATATTAAATATTAAACAAACCAGAGGTATATAAAAATATATTACATCTCTAACAATAATTATTGTTAGCTAACCTAATTATGTTAGAGGAGAATGCTTCTGATGAAATTATGCTTGATGTTGAAGATGAGAAAATTTCCTCACAAAAGAGAGCAATCATATGGGATCAATATTAAATCCTTAAAGAAGGTTAAAAGGCTTTTTGCAATGATTGCAAGAGTATTATAAAATGTAAAGGCAAAACAACCTCTCCTCTTATTAATCATTATAATATGTTTCATTCACACCTTAGTAAAAAAAATAATAAAATTGACATTTTTTTTAAAGTCTACACCAAATTCTTAAAAAAAAATTAATTTTAAGGATAATTTATTAAAATTATTGATAAATAATAATATACCTTTTAAAATTATTTATTCAAATGATTTTAAAAATTTTATAAGTTATCTTGATTGTTCTGTAAAATCATTATGCTCCAATACTTTTAAATTGCACATGTATAATATATTTACAGATAAAGAACAGTTGGTAAAGGAAAAATATATAAAAATAAAAGTCAGTTTAATTTTTCATCTGACATTTGGACTAGCAACACAGGTTCCTTTTTTAAGGCTAACAGCCCATTTTATTGATGATAATTTTAAAATAAATAACATAATTTTGGATGTCAGTCTAATAAATGAAACACATTCAGGTGAAAATATATTTAAAGCCTTTCTTAAAATAATTAAAATATAATTTAGAGAATAAAATTTTTTATATAACTTTTAGATAATGCAATTAATAATAAAACATTTATTGATACATTTTCTTTAAAATATCCATTAAGATGCTTTGCCCATGTAATTAATTTAATATCCAAAGAAATTTTAAAAATTTAGATCCTTCAATTCTAAAACTAAGAAACATTATTAGAATGATTCGTATGTGGTGGAAGGCAAATGCATATCGGATCCCCATGCTCTCGAAAATGGCAAGGGATTATCTATCTATACAAGGAACATCAACTGCTTGTGAAAGGCTTTTCTCAGTTGGAACTAATTTATTGTCAAAAAACCTCATGTCATATAAGGAAGAAAATAAAAGAAAAACTCTTTGCCTTAAAAATTGGCTTAAATTATAAAATAAATTAATAATATACATTTTAATTTTGTTTATAACTTGATTATATATTATTTATTATCAGATTATTGATTACATATTATTACAATTTTTTCTGTTTAAAATCAAATTTGTAATAAAAAAATTTGTCAATATATTTGAGTATGATTTATTTTATTAAAAAAATTAATTCAAATAATTCGAATCGAATACAAATAGTAGATTTTATTATTCGTACGAATTCAAATAGTAAATTATTCGATAACGAATCAAATATGAATAATGCACTATTCGATTCGAATTCGTTTTTGAATAGGCCTATGAGGCAAGTTACTATTATATACCTAATCACCATAAGAAAGCTTGAAAACTAAAAGATCCTATTTACATATACTATTTACTTGATATAGTGAACAACACTCACGATGTTATTTTATACATTTTTTTTTGAAATCAAGATTTCAATTTATTTAGTTTTCATTTTTTTAAACAAATTATGATTTGCTTCTCATTTATTTTTTTTGTTGATGGACCTTCACTTTTATATAAGAATTACATAATAAAGAATTAAAATTTGAAGCTTAATATGCAAATAATTTTGGCAAAACAGTTAAAAATTACATTTACATTCATCAAATATATCGCTATTTAGAGGTGGAATCATGATTTTTATACTTAATATACTAGTATTCTTACCTTGCAACAGTTATCATAAAATTCATGGCCAAAAAAAATCATGTAAAATAATTATATTTGTATCATTTTGTATATGTTGCCATGAATTTGCGTGTATGCAGGGTTACTAGTAAATAAATATAATTACATTTCATCATAATAATAGAATTATATTGCATTTTAAATATTAAAAGAAACAATTTGATGGGCACAAATGAAAAATGTCCATATGACCCATACACAATAGTATCAGAAAAATGCAAATGCGTGGATTTCCAAACCTTCAAGCTTCAGGAAACGCCCGAGGATACCCCAACTGGGGAAATGCCGAGACATATACTTTTGTATTGTGATAGGTTTATAATTGCATTGATGGATTTCATAGTATTAATAATATTAACTTATATAGATTGGTATCAACCTGTATTTTTAATTCAAGGTTTATAAAACTGATATTAATAGTAAAGAAAGTGTTGTTAATTCGTTTACCTTATTTCTCCTTACTTCTTAAAAGTCTGTAAATTTAATTTTATTATAAAGGAATAAATCCTATAAGGAAAAATAAATTACAACTATAAGCTTTCAAATTATTAAAATATATTTTTAAAACGAATACTAGGGAAAAATATGTTTTTTTCTTCAAATTTTCTTAAAAAATTAGAGGTAGGGAAGGGGAGGGTTATGTTGCATGGTTTCGGCAATATAATATAGTCCATCTCCAATAAATTTTTAATTTTTTTAGCAGGACCTTGTCATTTTCAATGTAATTGGATTATATTTATTTATCTTTGAAATAATATTTTTTAAAAAAAATAGGAATTTGATTGAAAGGGTTGTCCCAGGCAATAAGGTCAACGTTTTGGGCATTTATTCTATCAAGAAATACTCAAAAACTCAGGTAAATATTAACTAAATTTTTTTATATAAATGAAACCAAAGTAGGAATCGGGATTTATCAAAAATTTAATAGCCAATATCTCTAGTATACTTTTCATCCTTTTAGAAAAGTTCTGGCAAAGGAACTTCGTCTCAATTCAACAATCCCTTAGGCGTTCGTAACCCCTACCTACGAGTTTTAGGCTTTGAATCATCAACCTCGTCCAATCTTCCAGAAGATTCACTCCAATCTTCCCGCCGTTCATTATTTCCCATTGGCCGAATGGGCCTCGAGGAAAAAGAAATGTTTCTCAAGATAGCAAAAACCCCTGATATTTATGAGATACTATCAGAAAGTATAGCGCCATCTATCTTTGGATTTAAAGACATCAAAAAGGCGATTCTATGCTTGCTTTTTGGGGGATCAAGGAAACAGTGATAATATTTTCTTACTATTTTAAAGAAATGCCCACTTACTGTTGGTATCAGTGTCAAAAATATAAATTGAATAATTGGATTATTAGTATTTGATTAGAAAATTCCAATATGTTATTTGTATTTGTAATCGACTAATCCAATATTCATATTTATATAGATGATAAAATCATTTTTTGATTTGCAAATATTAGTTTCGAAAATTTAATTGTCCATTTTAAATTGGAAAAAAAGAAGAGATTATTAAATTTTGTGTAAATTATTCATTGGGATAAAAGGTGAATTAATTTTATTCAGTTGATATGTAGCAAGCCAATGCATTTATAAATTTATTTGGTCAGCATTTCAGCTTTAATATGCTGACAAATAAAATCAACTTGAAAATATTTATTTTGCATATTATAGAATAAGTTCAATTTAAAATATTATTAAAATTTTGTTGGTTCATATCTAAATCCATATTAAATCAATCGTTGAAATATTATTACAGCTATTTAGGTTTATCACTTTTTTCATCAATATAGCTGAAATAGGAAATAATAATAAAAGGTTCCTCGAATTCCTCCAATAAGAATATGTATTTTTTTTGCATATTAATTTTTTAAATATAAATTTAAATATTATTTCTTCCTAATAAGAATATATCTAGAAATATACTTATATATATATATATTAGATTACCCGATGGCATAATAAGACGAGGAGATATTAATGTGCTATTGCTAGGTGATCCTGGGACTGCAAAGAGTCAGTTGTTGAAATTCGTGAGTCAGCAAGGACTGGTGCCTCTTGGAGCAGTTTATACTTCTGGTAAAGGTTCTAGTGCTGCTGGCCTTACTGCTTCTGTCATCAAGGATCCTCATTCTGTATTTTTAATTTCGATGCTATTCTAATTTAAAAAAATGTGTTTTATTTTTTTTAGTATGTAAATCATTTCCATATTATAAATCGTAGGTAAATATGTATTCCCTTTGTTAAAATTTTAAATGTACCGATTTAGCAGCTACATGGGGTCGGGTTTATAGTCGCAAAAATCGATCCAGACCTGATCACAACTTGAATAAAATAGACCCAAACATGATTCGAATAACGACCTAAATCTGAGCACCAATCTAATAAAATGACCCAGACATGTATATAACGAGTTATTTGATATGACTCTCAAACTCACACGACCCTAACCTATTTGATCCGATTTAATCAGAATCCTTAATAAAAAAAATTTCTTAATACCTGGCCTTGTGTCAGATTTTGTCCAGGCTGATTCAGATTGAGTTGGATTAAGTCAGTTTTAGCCAAGTCAAATTTAGTTGGGCCAAGTGAGTTTGAGTTGGGTCATAATAAAAATAGTTCTTCAATTTAGGCCCAAAGGAACTAGAAAGTGAACGAGCTAACTCATGACATGAACCTAAAAGGCTCAAGTTGGCTTACGAAATACTCGTATTTCAGCTCATCAAGCGATTTTTTACCACTTACTTGAATTTGGAATCATATAATTGACTATTCCAAATTTTATTCCCAGCCCAGAATTTTAAGGCTGCTCATTGGGATTGACTCAAATGGTTTTATTAGAGCCGTGCCTGGGTCGATTTGATTCAAGTCGTTCTTACTAGGTTAATTTTATTGGAGTCGCTTTTGTATCTGATATGATTTTATTCAAGACGCACTTCCGGCTCTTGCTCAAGCTTGTAGTCACGAGTTTTGAGAATTTTAACTACACTTATTATTTTTAAACAATTTATTTTTTATTAAGAGAAATTTTATAATGGAAGGAGGAGCTATGGTTCTGGCTGATGGAGGGGTTGTATGCATTGACGAATTTGATAAAATGCGGGAGGAAGATAGGGTAGCTATCCATGAGGCTATGGAACAACAAACCATTTCTATAGCTAAAGTTAGTTTATTTTCATTTCTGAATTTTATTCCTTTTGATTTTTTTTCTCACATTCTCTTAATAGTTCTGTTCCATATTTTTATCATAATATATATTTCTTTTCTTGTGTAATGTGCTACAATATGTTTCATATTAAATAAACTCATTAGTGAAACTAATATTGATAATTGACATGTTCTTAAACATCCTGATAAATTTCTATTTTCTAAAGGAAATTGACATTTATTTTACTACACATTACCCAAAATTCTTAAAAAATATTTATAGGCAGGCATAACCACAACCTTAAATAGTAGATGTTCAGTGCTCGCGGCTGCTAACAGTGTATTTGGTAGATGGGACGATACAAAGGGGGACGAGAATATAAATTTTCTCCCCACTATTTTGTCTAGGTTCGATCTTATCTTCATCATCAAGGACACCTTCGACAAGGACAGAGATATAGTACAATTTTAATTTCATTTTACACACTTTTTCTCTCAATTTGATACCGCATCAGATTTTCCACAAAGCCTTTGAAAGTGTTCGATTAATCTTATCAATAAAACCATAAGAGACATGATGTAGTAGAGGTTGGATGTCTAAAAATATGGAAAGAAAAATGGCAATTGATAGTAGTAGAATTGAGAACATCTGGAAGGAACTTAGAGAATGAATGGGATAATGAAGTTAGTTGTGCAAAGGTATAAGGCCGGGGGTGTAGTTTTGACAAGGATGAAATCACGAAAGCATGGAAAAGATGAAAAAGGAAAAGCAGCCGGTTAATAAGATTGGTAACAGAAATGTTTAGAAGTTCTGATGACTTAAGGATTAATTTATGTAATCTAATTGTTCAAGGAACTATTCTTTTGGGGAAGAAGTATAATTATTCCAGTTTACAAAGAGAAAGGTGATCATTGATTGTGGTCTTATAGAGCTATTAAACTCTTAGAACATGCAATTGAGAGAGTAGCAGATAAGGGAACAAACTAAAATTGATGAAATGTGGTTAAGTTTTACACCAGAGAAACGCACATCAGTGGCAATTTTATGGTGATATAAATACAGGAGAAATATTTGCAAAGGAAAAGAAATTATATTATGCTTGTTGACTTGAGAAGGCGTTTGACAGGGTACCGTGTGAGTTTACAATATGGGCCTTGAGAAAATAAGATGTGGAAGAATAGCAGCGATGGCAATGTATGTGGTGGGAGCCCAAACTACAGTATGGACAGATGATTGAGATAGTGAAAGCTTTGAAGTAAAGGACTTCCATGGGAACTATTATATGCACGTGACCTTTTATTATTGTAAACAGTGAAGAAGAACTGAGGGATAAAATTATTGAATGGAAAAGGGTCTGAAGATGAATGCAGGGAAGACAAGGGTTATGATTGGTAGGGACAATCTAAAGACGGAAAAATCAGTCAGCTGGCTTTGTGGTGTATGTGGAAGAGGAGTTAGAAATTCAATCCTCTTCGCCAAATGTCAGAGGTACATAAAGATGTAGTGGGGAAAAGGGAAGTCTGATATTAGCAAGAGTGATTTTTATTTGTAGAACATGCATAAAAGTGTCCATAATAATGATATCGTAGAAAATGATTTGGATATTGTTATTAGATCTACCCTGGGAAAAGTGGAAAGTTTTGATATTTGGATGCCATGCCACATGCAGATGGAGGTGTAGATTTTGCTGTTGCTGCAAGTGTTAAAAAAGCATGGACAAATTTCAGAGATATGCCGTCTGTTCTAACAAATAAAAATGTTTCTCTGAAGTTAAAGAGAAAAGTTTTTTATAGCTAGGTGGTTGGTTAGTTTATGGTAATGAAACATGGGCAATAAACGTGGCTTATGAAGCTAAATGGGAAAGAACAGAAATGAGAAAGATTAGATGGATGTGGGGATATCTTTGAGAGAGAAAAACTAGCAAAATAGGAATAGAAGGGATTGGAGTGGTAATGAGAAGAGAAAGACTAAGTTGCTTTGGGCATATGGAATGTAAGACAAAAGATGACTGGGTAAAGAGATGCACCTTGAATTAAATAGGAGGATCAAGACCTCGAGGAAGGCTTAAGGTGACGTGGGTAAAGTTGATATGGCGGATATGAGAAAAATGAATCTTAAAAATATTGATTCTCCAAATCATCAAAAATGGAGAAAGAAAATTAGAGGTGGCTTACTTGGGTAAACCTGGAAATCGCCATTATTAAGAGAAGAATAAGACTATTGCTACCTGTAAGGAGGGAAGTAAATAGCTATATGCCCAAATTTTTTTTTTTTGCTTAAATGAAAGCTGTAATATAATAAACCCCCTATTTTTTAAAAATGTATAAACAGGCATATCAAACATGTGTCAATTTTTTTCTTCTCTATTTGGTGAATGAATTGGATATTAGAAACCTGACTTTAATCAGCCAATAAAATAAGTGCAGCTTTGATCTTAGGCTTTTTTTAAGGTTACTAGATTTAAATTTGGGCAATATTATGGTAATTTTTATCTCTGCTGTTTGTGGCACACAGATCTTCTATAATTGATTTCAAATAATAATATATTCAGAAATAAAAAACTGTTTATTTTTTGAATATCTTTAAGATTCTAAAATTCAAATTAAAAAAACAATCAAAAAAAATAAAATTCTATTTTTTTTTCCAGTCCTTATTCTTATATTCACTAAGACTTCTAAAGATAAACTCTGTTACCATCATAACATTTTATTCAAATTTTTTTTTTTACAATTATTTTTAAATTACGTAAGAAAATGGCTAAACATGTTATTAATGTCCACTCTAATAACCCTACCCTAGAATCTAACAACACCGATTCAATGGTTCTGGGTAAAGAATTTAGCTTGGATTTGCTTAGGAGATACATTCGTTATTGTAAAAAGTAATCATCTATTTTATAACAATTATATAATTATTATACCTTAAAATCATGGGGGTATATGGGAATATTTTTATTAAAGAGAATTGGTAACCGTTCTTTTAAAATTAAAAATTTTAATTCAGTTTCCATTATTTGCGTATTCTCATGTATATCGAAACGTTCCGAGACTACGAGGACTTGAAAAATTCTGGAACAATGGATTTCTAATAATTAAATTCCCCTCCCCCCACCTTCATTTCTTTGTTTCTCGAAAATTTAGTTTTTCGTAAACGTTCCAAGTCTCTGTTTAAAAGACATATCTAACAAATAATATACGCCCTCGAAAATAAAATTATTACCATTGCAATATCATATTATAACCTTCCTAAGTAAAAGATCATTGTCTAATATGAAATTTTTTTATTAATATAAAAGTTTCAATTTCCATTATGAGGGATCAAATTTTCCTTTTATACATTCCTTATGAGTTGATAAATAAATTACTATTTTTTTATTATTATAAAATGAATATACACAAAAGACCAAGGTTGGGCACGTTACTCCAAAAGTATGACAGTTACCATTACTCAAGGATAATATTGTTAAACGGCTCGTTTGGAGCTGAAATTTAAAAACGGCTAACACAATATTTTAACCAGAAAATAGCCTATAAGCTTCGAGATTTCGATAATATATGTCTAGACCCTTGTTCCTTCTATAAATAAAATCTTAAGGCTTGCATAATATTTTTCTGGATGAAATATTGAGTTAGCTGTTTTTAAAAATCGGCTCAAAACGAGCCGTTTAACAACACTACTCAAGCAAAAAAGGTCACGGTTAAGTTACTCTCGTTACCTTTAAAAAGAAAGTTAACGGTTATGTTACCATTATTTAGAACATGTAACGGTTGCAAAAGCTCTACAAATTTGAATCATTCATTTTGCTTTAATTAAAAATATAAAAACTATAAACACACATTAGTTTATATATTTTTTTTATATCGAAATTAATATTATAACAAAATATTATAATCTTAATTCTATAAAGGAACTTATTTTCAAATAGAACATCATCTTATCATCTTATTTGGTCTATTAATCAAATCAGGAATAAAATAAGGCCTTCAATGGGAGTGAAGGGTAAATTTTATTAAAAATATATTTGTATATCGAATATATATGCAGTATATTCATTCAATATGATGGATCACGAAAATATAAAATCATTTCCTTAACATTATTTGAATTCTTTATAGAGAAATTATTGGTAGAGCTATTTGGGTCTCGGGAACTGGACTTGAAATAAGAACAGGATCTTATCTCTAAGGATATTGTAGCAGATGCCATCAAAAAGTCATGTATTTTTTTATTTATAGAATGGATAGGAAATTGTGGCTGGAAATGCTTGGTTAGATTCTAATAAGTCGATGTTATAATTTCGTCTTTAAAAACATCATAATTCATGTTCTAAATTTTTAATAATTTTGAGTGTAAATGAATGAATGAACAAATTATAATAATAGCGAAAACTTTGTTACATTTTCAAATTGGAATTGCAGGAGCATTATGTAACGTAAGGCTACCTGTAATGCAATGCTATTTGTAACTTTTTACCTAACCTTCCAAAGGACGATATACTCTGGTTTTCCAGTTTACCCGAGGAATCCATTTTCCCTTCTAATCCCCTTTCTTTATTTTCTGCAGTCCTGGGCATTACCCCAGGTCAACTAAGCATGTGTATCATTATATATCACTTTCACCTAGGTAATGGCAAGTTTAAATATTACAAAAATCAACATATAAATGTATATCTTGTTAAGGGAATGACAATCTAGTATAAATAGGGTTGGCAAAAATCATGATTAATCAAAAAAATTATTTTTAAAAATGCCTGTAAGAGAACAACTCTTAAGGTAAAGACTTATAATAGAACATGCATACATTTTATTAATTATATTATCTCTGTTTTCCTATGAAATTTATGAATAAACCATTGTTACTGATAATTGTGAAAACAACTAAAAAGTATTTTATTTTATAATAATCTTATAAATTCCGAATAAATATGTTATTATTTTTTGTTACATTATTTGTAACAGGGAATGGATTTAAAAATATTTAACGTACATTCAATAAATATTTTCCCATATTTTAAATGAGGTTATTAACATTTTGAGAATAAAAAAAACCAATAATTCTAGTTAATATCGGTATCCATCTTCGGAATGTGATTCTATCGATTCTCATTTATTACTTGTTTACATTAACACTCCTTGATAACAGCTTTTATTCTCATAAAGCTTCGATTATGTTTAAATTGAGACTCAATGCTGGTTATTTTGAAACCCTATCTTCCATTAAATACCTATTTTTAGCCTAATTATTCATGTGAAATGGTTCATCTTGCTAAAAGGTGCATATTCCATCGGGAAATAAAACGCGAAAGATTCGTTTAAAGATGCTGATCAATTATTTCTTTGATATTAAAAGCGTTTGATTCTCATTAAGTTTATCTAAAAGGAAAAAACGATTTTTATATTATGGTGTAGCAATAAAAGTTGATTTTTTTATTATTTACTTTTATTCTTTCTTAATTAAATTTCTTACATTTTTTTATTAAAGTAACGTGGGACCCAGATTATCTGACGCTGCGGCAGATAAACTTAAAAACGCCTATGTCATGATGCGAAATGGTAGCGCTCAATATGAGAAAGATTTTAGCAAGAAAAATGCCATTCCCATCACTATAAGGTAAAAAGTAATTATTTGAGGTAAATTTTTGCTTATTTCTTAAAATTATTATACACCTTTTAAAAATTATGAATGGATTATCAATTCCTCCAGAAATAAAATAAACAACTTAATCAGAAAGATCTCAAGATCTCAATGTTTTTATTACAAATTTGATTTTAATCAGGAAGAAATTCCTCAGATTAGATTGTGATATAAATAACTTAGGAGATTTGATTGACAAATAAAATTAGATGATAGGAAATGATTCTAAGATTTCACAAAGTAGGCATGATTTAAATTAAATTTTGAAATCTTTATTATTTCAAAAAGACAATTAGAAGCTATAATAAGAATATCCGAATCGTTGGCGAAAATGAAACTTTGTGACTTTGTTAGCATAGAACACGTGGACGAAGCACTGAGACTTTTTCAAGTTTCAACCCTCGAAGCTGCTATGTCTGGAAATTTGATAGGTTTGCCAAAAAATATATTGTATTTCTACATGTTGATGTAGAGATTAGATATCTCGGGGAATTTTATTTTTTCAAAGAAATTTTTTGCTTTATTCTGTGTCCTATAGTTCACAATTTGTCTTCAAATTTATTTGAAGTGAATTTTTATTATGATTAATATTATATATAATGATTAAAAAAATATAAAAGCGTCTCCTATATGTACATAGAAATAACAAATCAATTTTAAAGAATTAAAAATAACACGAAAATATAAGTTTGGGAAAAAGGTCAAGTTTACCCCTGTAAATGTTAAAACAAAATTGAGGAGATTTCAAGATCCTAAATTAGAATATAAAATTCTACTAATTATTATATTACTAATTTACACAAACGTTTAACCCATTAATGGTCAAGATTTTTCTAGTGGATAAAAATGCTCAATTTTTTCAAATTATATTGATTAATGCTCAAATATGATATTCTAAAAAAATCAGCCAAAAAAAATAATCCTAAATAGAAAATCTAGCCTGGTGCATATATGCACCGTTAACCATTAAGAGGTTAAAAAAGATAAAAATTATATAAAATACTATAAGATCAAAAAACAACAAATATCTTTATTCTTTTTTTGTAATTTATAATAAAAACGAGAAAATGTTTATATATTATGAAAATCCTTGAAACATATGGAGTGCGATTTGACATGTTTGGCACATATATCTTGAGTGCGTATGGCAATATCTGCATCTTCGTCTTTTTCCATCTTTAATTTTGGATAAATAATGTCCAGATGAATCAATAGGGTTTTCACACTGTAATGCAAACTGGCTGGCGTGACCTGTACTTGAATTTTTTTCTATTTTTACTGGCGATCGAAGGAGGTAATTAGTAACTTCTCGTCTAAATGCAAGAAACTCTTCTTGTCATCTCGATTCGCGAATTTCCAGATTTTCCATGAATTTACCAAAGCTACATCAATAAAATTGGTGAATATTGGCCACCACCATTTTTTTCCTCTTATTTTTATTCTATATGTAGATATTAGATTATCACATAGATCAACTCCACCCATGTGTTTGTTATAAGCAGTTACCATATTTGGCTGAGGAATTTTTATTTTAGAAGATATTTTCTTAGAATACCTTGAAACATTAGAAAGCAAAGAGATAGTGTGGCATGTCGATGCAACGGTCACCACCGAATTATCATTCCAACGAACTACAAATATTTCGTTTAATTTTTCAAACCTATAATCATAATATCCTCTTTCTTTTTTTGCTACAACCTTTATAGATTCAACTGGGCAATGCTCTATTCTATTGTCCCTCACAGTTCCAGTTGCAAAATATCCCATTTGTTTTAAGTATGACAAGAGTTTAAATGATGTAAAGAAATTATCAAAATATATTTTATGATAATTTGGTTTTTGCAATTTAATAATTTTATGATTACATTTCCACCTAATCCATATTCATATTTATTTTTGCTTTTTCCTTGATATATATCAAATGAGAATACGCAACCGTCGGAAGAAGCCAATATCCAAGACTTGGTTTTCCTTTTATGAACATTTTGCAAGAATGTCTTCCTCGATATGGTATCATCTGTTCATCTATTGATAAATGATGTTTGAAAATTCCGAATTGCTGAAATTTATTATTCAATATATTAATGTAAGGCCTAACTTTATAAAATCTATCATGTATATCTATTTTAGTATTGTCTGCCAAATGGATATTATATTTCAAATTTCGAAATTGTAATTGGGTCATTGTATCCCGGATTATTGGAATAGAAATATCGCTATCATTAGACCAGTACATTCTTTCTTGTGGGAGAGAATGATATCCAGTAAATAATAGAATTCCAATAAATCTCTGAATATCTTGGATGGTTATGCATATGTTAGGTCTATTCATTTGTTTAGCATAAATATTACTTTGTTTTACAATTAGTGAATATAAGTCTTCGTCGAAAATTAAAGAAAATATATCTGATGGACTTTTACCATGTAAATCATTTTCAAGTTTTATTACATTTTCCTTTTATCCATTGAAAGGACTTGAAGAATATATTGCATCCGTTTTTCTCCATTTTAAATTGTGAGAAATTCGAGAATAGCTTCTTGTAGAATATGGTTCTGGAAGGTCGTCATCAACTGAATTATGAATCTCCAATTCTCCAGCTGTATCTGAAGGCAAAACTCCGACATTTGTTAAGTCATTTTCATCGAAATCTTCTTCATCACTAACTGCAGAGGGGTTTGGCGGAATTATAACCATATCTCTTTCTTCAATTGGTTCCTCTTCAAAAAGTTGAGCAAGCGTTTGTTCAATTGTTAGAAAACGTTTCATTAAAAAAATTTATTAAAAATTAAATATCTAGACAAATTATTTTCGTAGAATCTTGATTTTTTTATTAGTCATCTATTATTTTGATTGAATTGACAAAACAGGTGCATAATATTTTATATAAATAAAATAAAATCTTCAGAAAGGAAGAGGCTAAAAATAATTAATAATTTTAAACTTTTGAATATTTATGAACCTAATTTGATCGGGATAAAAAATTATAATAGGAATCGATTTAATCTCAGGGGGCTAAAAAAATTTTTTTAATTATTTTCAAAAGGTCTTTTTTTGGGTATAAAATTTTTTAAAAAAATTCTTAGGGGGCTCGAGCCACCCACCCCTCCTCCCCCCACCCTTAGTGACGGTAGTGGTTTTAATATAAAAAATTATAATTCATTATGTTAAATTTCATTTGTTTGAATTTTTTAAATAATTTATACTGCTAGATGGTTAACGGTGCATATATGCACCAGTCAACTTTATGTGGTTACCTATTAAAATTTTAATTATTTAAAAATTCAAAAATGATTGATAAATATTGATATATCTATAAAGAATATATACACACTAGTTTTCATCGAAATAATTTTATAATATGCTTGTGAGATCACTTAAAAAATTTTGCATTTTAGACCTCATAAATTCGCTAAGTTTGAGGGTTTCTTAGGGACATAAAAAAATATTTTTTTCATATTTTTCTTTTCCAGTTTTGAAGTACAATGTCTGAACTATATAAAAATCTTTTTTATTATTTTTTAAAATAAAAACTACTATGTTAAAATAAAGTATATAGGAGGTGGTGCATATATGCACCGTTAACCAGTAACGGGTTAAGGTCAAATAGTTTAAAAGAATGCTTTGTAAAGTTTTACACCAAATATATAAAAATAGTAAAGGTTTAAACAATTACAAAATAGTTTTGTTAAACGATGTTAACTTAATTACTGCTTAGGCTAAGTTTTTGGTACGAAAAATTGACGCCGACTTCGAGCGACTAAATTAGTCTACTAATTAAGCGACTACCTAATTGTGGCATACGTTTATATGTCCCCTTTTAGGTTTAATAATAATTATAACTTATTAATTTGGCTTTGAAAATATCCTTTATAATGCAATTAAGTCATTAAAATTAAATTAATTCATCAACTTCACCAATTAAATAATGTAAATTAGTCATTACATTTTATTTAAATTAAGTAATTGATTGAGAAATCTATCATCAATTATAATATTAAAGATAGTGAGAAAATAATATTTAATTCTCAAGATGGCTTATTTAATTATAGAAAAATTTTTCTTTAGCTCTCTATTTGCGAAAGAAAATTGTAAATTTTATATACTTTTCCAAGATGATTTTCATTTGTTCCCTGAAGTGTTATATCTTCATTTTAATATAATTATTCTTATAGAAAAGGCTTCATCTCTATTTGTTCAAATTTATAAAATAAAATGGGACCTTTGAAAAAAAAAATTAAATAAATTATTTTGAATATTTTAGAAAATTTACTAAAATTACCATTTTAATGACTTAACGCATTAGCGTTTGCATAATTTATCTCGCCAATGTCCAACTCTTAATATTGATTTTTTATTACACAAATTGTAACCTAATGGTATATACAATATATTTTTTATTTTCGCATTCCATTCATATTTTGCAATGAATCGCTGTAATGAGTTTTTTGTTTAAAAAAATTTAAATAAAATAATGCTCCAGGTGAGGGTGGATTCCGTTTTTCACTTACCTACCCAAATGATTTTTTGCCGAATAGTTATAATATTCTATTTTTGGAGGGAATGGCTAAGATATAATTTTAATTGAATGAAGCATTGGAAGATATTAAAAATACAATAGTTGACACATAAAATATATTTTGAGTTATAAGGATAAAAAAAATGGCTCCTCAATTCTGATTCATATTTTTATTAAATTTGATAAGAATATTTAATTTTAAATGTATTTCAGGTGTTGAAGGCTTTACAACCCAAGAAGATCAAGAAACCCTTTCCAGAATAGAGAAACAGATGAGGAATAGGTTTGCTATCGGTTCTCAGATATCCCAACATGCCATAGTTCAAGATTTTCTTAAACAAGTAATATATTAACGAATATTAGTTATTAAAATTAGCCTAAACATTTATCCATAATACATATAAAGTTTATATAGTATCTTTTTTAAACTTAACTAAGTTTTAGTATATGATTTAATAATTTGTATTTATTATAATATGTTTGATTTTATATATTATTAATTTTTTTAAAATATATATAGAAATATAATGAACGCAGCATCCATACAGTAATTCAATGCCTGATAAGAAGGGGCGAACTCCAACATAGAATGCAAAGAAAAATGCTCTATAGGATTAAATAAATTCATTGATTATCTTTTAAATAATTATTATTTCATTAGATGCCATGTTTTTTTAGGGAAATAAACAAATCATGTAATATATTCAAGAACCATATATAGTATATAATAAATTTCGTATTTTTCACGTCAACAAAAATTTAATACTCTGTTTTATTTAAGAGATTTATACAAGTATTTATGTTGCAAAGACCTTTTTTATATTTTATTATTTTTATAAGAAAATTAATTTTATAAATTTAATTTTTAAATGTTTAAAAGATTCTTGCATCTTTAATGGAGAATATCTTAAATACACAAGATACATTTTGATTTGAGTCAAAATTAAATTCAAAAGTAGAATAAAAACGGTTATTTTATAATGATAATATTTGTATGATTTGTTTGACCCTAAAGCTAAACTCGAGGCTTATGAAAATCATACTTCGCTTTCACCTCAACAATCAAATAAAAATCGAGAAATTTCTGGTTGATATTATCTATTGGCCTTCCAAGTTGTAATATAATATTCGCGAGCCATATTTATTTTTTGAAAAATATTGCATAAAATTGTCGTGTAATAAATAATTTATTAATACATTCCAATGGAAAAAAATTGGCAATCATATTAAATCGAATAATATATCAGCTTCAGATAAAATATGTGTTTCAGGTAATTCTGATATTTCTCCAGGGGCATACAAAATAGACTTCTATCCAAAAGAATGCTGAACAGCTTTATATCGAAGGTTCTATTATGTCGGGCAGGATTTTTGCAGTTTCTTTTTTCCTGTACCACAAGAAGTATTAGAAAGAATTATATTTAGCAAATTCTCTCTATTTGGATATCTGAACATACCATGCACTATAAATTTTCTAATCATGTTATCAGAAGAGATATATAAAATAGAATTTTTTTGATAAAATTATCTTATATCCATCAGGATCAGTGTTTAAGGTTTATAAAAATGTAACAAAATGAACTTTAAATTTTCGTGAGATATAATATTAATCAGAGACCTAGAGGTACCATTTGTACGGCCTGGCCCTGATTAAAAAATTTTCGACCCGGCCTGGTTTTTTTTTTAAAAATTTTTTATGGCTCGGCCCGGCTCGAAAAATTTGGGAGGGGGGGGGCGGCCTGGATTTTTTTTTAGGCCTGGCTCGAAATTTTTTAAAATTATAATCGACCTGGTATATACAAAAAATTCATTATTTAGTATTTTATCATATTTCAATATTTTCGCCAGAAAAATATTGACTAAGCCTCAAAATTTCGATACTATATGTCTATTTGCTCCTTCTATGAGCAAATTTTCAGGTTTGCATAATATTTTTCTGGATAAAAAACTCGGCTCAAAACGAGCCGTTTAATAACACTTTTTTATATATTCTAAAGAGATATTTAGTATATTACAAATTGATACTATAAAAAAAATAATATTTTGAGAATACTATGTATATATAAAAAAAAATAAAAATGATATTTTAATTAATAAAAAATATAACATATATTATATAATAATGTATTTAATCCTTTGCGTATTTATTCCATGCCAGGAAAACTATAGTTTTATTATGTAATAGATACTATGAGTGTTAACTTTCACCAAACATTATATTAATCTTAACTATATATAATCATTATAACCATATCTAATTGACGAATATAATAATTCATGTTGTATAAATTTTTTTTAAAAATAGGGCCTGGCCTGGCCCGCGTATTTTTAAAAAAATATTTTTCAAGCTCGGCCCTGGTTTTTTTTAAAAAAAATTTTTCAGGCCCGGCCCGGGTATATTTTAAAAATTTAAAATACAGCTCGCGGGCCGGTCCTGCAGGTCTCTGATATTAATATACAAAAATAAATATTAAAATTAATTTTAAATTTTTGCCAATATTTAGAATAGAATATAACCTAGTTGAAATAGAATACTTTGTGATTCATGAAGCCATATATTTTTCAAAAATTCTTGCTATGGGGCATGGGATTTCTTTCCCTCTTCCACCCCCTCTTGCAAGCTACACACCTGAGCCCTTTAATATTTTTTCAAAAAATTTTACTGCAAGGGGTGGGGGGTCTAAAGCCATATTATCTGAGCCTATTCCACTTGGTTACCTATAACTTTCGCTGATTATCAGTCACCTTCCCTTACCTTTTCTGAAGACTTGGATCTTTTCCCATAACTCTATAGTTAAACTTTTTAAGAGAAGATGAGTTTTATATTACAAAAAAGACCATCTTTAGTGGCTATAGCAAATAAAGATATTGGGCTTAGAATTCAGCCATTACTTTAAAATTTTGAATAGATTTGATTCAGTGGTACTTATTTTCATAATTTCAATATACTTACCTTCTTTGTTATAGGGAGTGCAAATCATTTTATAAATCAGAGATTCCGGGCTGGACCGTATTTTAATTTTTTTAAATATACCAGGGTCTACATTTCTTTAAAAAATACACAGGCAGGTCTAAAAATATTTTTTAAAAAAATACCCAAACCGAATATTTTAAATCGCCATTTTTATTTATAAAAATTAAATATAAAATATTCTTAAAAAAGCCAGTCCGGGCCAAAATTAATATTTTTTAAATCTGGGAGTGTGAGAGTGGTACCCCTGCAGGTCTTTTTTATTAATTAAAAAATCATATATAATGTATACTATTTCAGCTATTAACATTTAAAATTCCATTTTAACTTTTAGGACTCATATTGTCATAATCATTGATAATATAATAATTAAATTTTTTATTATATATTATTGTCATTAAAATGTAAATTTTTATAGATATTGAGTTTCAAGTCGTTAATCTTCGAGATTTGACATTAAAATTCAAATACATCATAAATATCTGGTAGGAAATAGTTATGAAATATAATTCTGTAGCAGTGGAAAAACTATTTTTCATTTATGTGATGGGTAAATATTTTTAATATGGAGCGTTTGCAACTTTTTGCAAATATTGTAATCATTAGTAAGATCAAATAATAAGATTTTTCATTTATTTACACCCTCAGTCATATTTTAAATATTTAAATTTTTTGACTATGTATTTTAAGCTTATTAATTAACTTAACTCATTGCATTTTGCGAACGATTTTTAATGTAGCCTAGAAGATGTAACGGAATATACTTTTCGAAAATATATTTTAGTTTATGAGATGTGAAAATACATAATAGCTCCTAAAGCTTAATTTGCATTTAATTTATGATTTGTTAGATTTTTTTCTGTTTTTTAAATATTTGTTCATAGGAAAGTTTCAAACCAAAATAATATTTATATTATATTTAAATAAACGATCCATGTAATAAATCCCAAAATCTAATTTTATCATAAAAATTATGTAAGAAATTTAGCAATACTTTTTTTATAAATTTTTTTATTCAAATAGATATTTTATAAATATACGCCATCTTGCGAATTAAATTTTATTGATTTTATATAATCTTTATTATATCCTTTTTAACTGTAAACAATTATTTATTTGGGTAAATAGAATGTAATGATTAATTTACATGACTTTATTAGTGAAATTATGCAATTAATCTAGTTTTAATTACTTGATAGTACTAAAAAGGATATTTTCAAAACCCAATTAATTGGAAATATAACAAATTTGCATTTTAATCAATAGCACCTTACCTATCACTTATCTACACCTTTAAAAATCATGCATAAAATAAAGTAAAAAATATATTAAAAAAATATATAATTTTTTTTTAAAAAAAAAAAATTTATATTCATCTTAAAGGTTTTATTATGTTATTTTTCTCATAAGTACTTTCAATTTTTTATTTTAATAGTATATTTAAAAACAAAAAACTATAGAAAATAAAATATAGTAAAATAATTTTATGTGATTTTTAAATTTAAAAATATAAGTGAGGGGAGATAGGGGTTATATTGTCCATAAAAAATTGCTGTAAGAAAATAGATGAAGCTAATTTTTTAAAATAGTACCTACTTTTATTTTTTAGATATATGGTGGAAATTAATATTTAAGAAAAAAAACATCCAAGGCTCCTATTATCGTTTCGAGTTGTGTTTGGCTTCTTTATTTTTACATGTTTAAATATTTTTTATATAAAAAGTTAATTCCAAATGAATAAATTGTCAAATATCTTAAATATACCATGAGGGACTTGATGTCACTTAAAACTGTCATATAATATAAAAAAAATTAGTCAATCATATTCATATTGTCATTTAGGACCCTTAGATAAACTGGTGGCTTTAGGTTTGGTTGGACTTTTTTTATTCAAAATAATCCCTGTAATTGCTAATACGTACCTCGCCAAAACCTGCCCCATGTCTTCACAATTGAATAAATATATCAATATTTTTATACATGGTAAAGATGAGTAATTTTTCATTTTGAATTAGTATTTAGTCCGGTCAAAGATCACTATTTATAAATTGTACGATTCAACTGGGCAAATGATTCAGGAAAAAGTATAAAAAGTTACTTTTGACCGTTTTGGAAATCATAACTTGCACTTGGAGATTTCTCATGAGCAATTAAGTGCACAATACTTTAAGACACGATTTAGAGCACTTATATTATTATGAAATTCACAATGATCTTATCGTAAGTTTATTAGGTTTTAAATTCTGTTGAGAAGATATTACCTGCCCCGGGATAACACTATCCCCGGTCTTCCTACATGTAGCTATATTAATAAATATTTGATATTTAGCGATAAAGACTTGGTGTAATTTGATTGAAAAATATAATAATAACTAATATGAAAGAAGGAAAGAAAGAAATTGCTAAATTCCATAAATCAAAGTATCCAACTTACTTACAAATGAATGCCTATCATCGAGGCTATCGATTGAATGATTTTATTTTCTCCATACATTTTATTGAGTTCCATTTTGTAATTTGGATATTTGTACTTGATGTAATTCAAATTAGGAATCTAGCAAACCATGCTTAGCAAAATTATGAAATTTCATTTATATATATTGCTAGATTCCTAATTTGTATTACATTAAGTACAAATATCCAAATTACAAAATGAGACTCAATAAAATGTATGGAGAAAATAAAATTATGCAAGATAGCTCTGAAGGCCTTCATTGATAGAAGTTGGATATTTGT